TGTCTTGGCTCTTTGCTGGTTCTCACTTGCTGTTTGCAGCCACCATGAACTGTGGCCCAGCCATGCCCGCCTGTCTTGGAGCCAACTGAGTGTGGACTGAAACCTCCAAAAACTGCAAGAAATAAACCTTTCCTTTCCCAACTTTGGGCTTCAGGTATTTTGTCTCAGTAATGAGCATAAATTAACTAAGACAGTGCCTCTATTTTTTTAAATCTATGTCTTTGGATATAGTTACTGATTCTTTCATTATGCTTATCATTTCTGTTTTTCCTAAGCAATTATTTCTGATTAGATTTCCTTTACAGCTTCATGGATTTATTTCTTTACTTCCCTTGCTGTCATTTCAGAGGTTTCAGGTGTGTTATTTCCAAATTTATCCACATCTATGTTTCCTGGACTTGATCTGGATGGACTGAAAGTTTGAGATTGCAGTTTTTTCTTTTGTTCTGGCCTTTTCCTGTGTTTCCCCAAATCAGCTGGTGGCCAAGCCCTAGTTGCTTCCCATTCTGGTGTTCTGTAGGCATCAGGCTTCACTGAGGGTTGCTCTTGGTTTTGGGTCACTAGGCACAGATACCTGGTCCCTGTGGGCTTCAGAGATAGTGTCCAGATGTAGGCAGGTCTTGGAACATAGCTTCCCAGTCCCCAAGAGTGTAACTGAGGGTTCCTGGATGATTGCTGGTTACTGAGCATAGGACTCCCAGTCCCTGTGGGCCTCAGAGATGATGTCTGGGTATGGGTGGGTCGAACTTTGTGACTTTCACTGGATTTTTTTCTGAAAAATCAGAAAATCTCCTGTGTCATTTGTTTCTTCAATCACTTATTCTTTATTTATTAATAGTGACCAAGAGATTCTGCTGGGCAATACCAAAGAGTATAAAAGAGTTCTTTATAGCAAGAGCCACTAGGAGTCAGTACACTTAGAGAAGCATTAATCAACAGAGAAAGTACTTGCTTTCAAGGAGCTCATAGTCAGATGGAGTAAGGTTTGATTTATTAGTTCAGATTTATATGTTGCTTGTTAGTTGCCAAAATAATGATTTGAACGTTGAGAGATATTGAAAGGTCTCCCATTGAAAGATCTTATAGCTCTGATCAGCTGTCTACCTTATAGGGTTGTTCTTATGGCACTGTGGAAGATGGCTTAAGTTAGGAGGCAAGATTGAATATTGGAAAGGGTATGTTAACAGTGCAAGCATCTGGAGACAGTGAGGCAAGGAAACTGAAATACCAGTGGAAGAGTTCTGTCACCTTACACTTCATCCCTTCACTGTTGCAGTGTGCTTCCCTCCTTTTGCATTCTGGGGCCTGTATCCTTTTACCTAACACAATTGCCTTTACCATTTTGCGTTATTTTTTCCTTTGTGACCTTGAGCAGTAGTTTTAGTGGTCTTTGAATACTAAGGTTCCTCGGGTATAAAATGAAGATGACAAGCCAGGCATGGTGACATATACTGTAATCCCAGCCCTCTGGGAAGCTGAGGCAGAAGGACTGCAAGTTTGAGCCTGCCCTGGGCAATTTAGTGAAGCCCTGTCTCAAAATAAAAAAATTTTTAAAAGGGCTAAGGGTATAACTCAGTATGAAGGCCCTGGATTTAATCCCCAGTGTCATAAAAAAGAACAGGAAACAATAGTCTCATAGTGTTATTCTCACAATAAATGAGCTAGTATATAAAAATGATGTCTTATAAAATGATTTCCCCTTATAATTTTAGTTTGAAAAATCAGTCCCACCTCCTTAATACCAATTTAGAAAATACCTTCACAGTTTTCTTCTATTAATTTCACTTCTCTGTAAGTTATTCATGCTGAAAATGCTCCCTCCTGTTTTAATATATGGTCTGACATTATTTCTTGGGCTTTTGGGTCATTTTGAATAAACTATTTAGAATCTTCAATACATTATAACTTTGACATTTAAAGAAATTATCTAGGCTGGTGTGGTGGCATGCCTACAATCCTACCACTCTTGGAGACTGAGACAGGAGGATCTCAGATTTGAGATCAGCCTGGTCAACTTATTTAGTGAGATCTGGCCTCAAAAACTAAAAAAGGAGATCTAGAGTAGTCAGTGGTGCAGTGCCTGCCTGAGGTGAGTTTCATTTCTGTTACCTCCCCCAAAAAGAAAAAATTGAAAATGGGCTGAGGATATAGTTCAATGTGAAGACCCTGATTTAAATCCCCAGTACCACCAAAGGGGAAAAGAAAACAAAAGAAAAAAAAAAAACAAACAGAAGAAATTATGTAAAACTAACAGAGCTAGAACTGGAAGGATCAATTTCTTTCTTTTAAAAAATTTTTGAAAAACAAAACAAACAGATTTGTGTTCTCTGATTACTAGCTTTACCACTTAAATGTATTTTATTTTGATATTCTTTCTTCCCTTGTTGATTTGCTAGTCTTTTATAATTTTTGAATGGTTACTGTAGACAGTACAGCATATAGCCTAGATATTATGATGTACCTGAAATTGGTATGTTTACCCCTTCCTAACAATGTAAGGCTATCATTAATGACAATAGGTCCCTTTTGCCTTTTACCTCCCCCAAGAAGAAAAACTACCGTTATGCACTGTTTTTATTGAACATACATTTGCATCTCTTCAGACTATTTACCCTTCCCGATGTTCTTGCTTTTTTCCTGCTTCGAGGTTTCAGAGTGACGAGGTTTCTCTTGGTTGAATTCTCTCTATTTTATTAGTGTACATGTATTGGTGACAAACTTTTGCCTTTTGCATATTTGAAATGTCTTTATTTTGCCCTTATATATCAAAAGGTTGTTTCAACTGGGCCTTGAATTCTAGATTGAGAATGTCCTTTATATTTTCCATCCTTTTCATTTCTGTACTCATTCTGGATCATTTATACTGGTCTGACTTCTAGTCGATAATTCTCTGTGGAGATATGTTTAATTTGCTACTAATTGATTTTTGCTCTGAGAATTTGTGTATGAAATCTTAATATATTTTATGTCTTCACTGAAATTCTGTTTTTTAATGTGTACATATTAACCATAATTATTTTAAAATCTTTGGAGATTTATTTCTGCTGTATTTTTTCTGGTTTTCAGTCATTTGGTCATAATTTTTTTTAAACATATATTATTTTTTAATTATATTCTGAATATTTTGTATTAAAATATTTAGATACTTCTACTTTCCTTCAAAGAAGAATAAATTAGGGCACACAGATAAGGTGTAAGCATATTACTTTAATCCTTTTGCTTTATTAGGGCTGATCTACGTCCATTTCATTTTTGTCTTTACTTCTACAATATGGCCCTTCTAGGTTTTAGTTGAAAGCCTGTGCTATTAAACCTTCGCAAGCCTTAAACTTCAGTGTCTGTCTAGTTAGTATTGTTTGGATAATAAAAACTATTTAGCTTTTTAACTTCCCAGCTTTTCCTCTGCTGGTTGTCTTAGAATTTTACACAATGTTCATGTAATTTAAGAACTGGAAAATGTCTCTAGGAGAGACATTGTATATTCACTTTTAGAATCACTGCCCTGTAGTTCCTGTTTTATTTATTATGCTGTTCACCAGTTCCACCTGCTTTGATTTCCCTATGCTCTGTGCTGTGTTTCCTCATACCAGGGACACTTTTGTTTTCTGATAATATTCTCTTCCTCCACAAGGTCAGTTACCAAATATCTTCAGGTAAAAGCTGGCATAAATGTAGAACTCACCTTCTGAGATTGAATTCTTTCCTTTCAGGGGTTGTAGCCTTTCAAATCCAGCCTCTAGTGTTTGTTGTTCAATGCTTTTGAGTGGGTGATTTATGTACAGGTGAGCATCTTTATTCTGAAAATCAGAAATGCTCCAAAATCCGAAACTTGTTGAGCACCAACATGACACCACTGCACACTTTACTTCATGTAAAGTGGGTCAGAGTTAGAATGCAGGTGCTGACACTATCGTAAAATTCCTTTCAAGCTGTACATGAAGCATAAACAAATTTGGGGTTTAGACTTGGATCACATCCTTGAGATACCTCACTGTATGTATAAAAATATTACTAAACCCAAAAATCTGAAATACTTCTGGTCCCAAGCATTTCAAATAAGAGATATTAAACCTATGTTTCATCTAGCCTTTGTGATGGGAGAATTAATATGAACTACTTAAAAACTATAAATAAAGTCTCCATAATGTAGTTTACATACTTTTTTTTGTAAACAAGCATTTTATATAGGAGTTGTTTCATGTATTCCAGCAACTGAAGGAAAGACACACGGAAGATTAACAGAATAAAAATCCCCTTTTTCCTACTTCTTCAACACTTTATTTAAATCACAGAACAAAATCCTCTCCCCTTTTCATATAAAAGCATTGGATGGGCTGGTATTACATTTTACACATGATATGGCCCAGAGACTCACATGTTGAGAACTTAAGTCCTTTGGGTAAGCAGAGTTCAGAGGTGAGGAACAGAGAGGTAATTGGATCATGTGGTTATGGAATAGGTATTAATAAGTGGGGGCCAGCTGGAGGAAGTAGGTCACTTGGGGTATGACCTTGAACTGTGTATCTTATTCTTTGCTTTTCTTTTTGGCTCTAGCACTTTCCCTCTCTCTCTGTTCCTCCACTAAGCCCTTCCACAGTGAAGTTTTATCTTATCTTAGACCCACAGCTATGCAACCAGCCATGGATTGAAACCTTTACAACAGTCCAAATAAATTTATCCTCTTCTAAGTTGTATTTAGCAGGCATTTTTATCATAGTGACAAGAAACTAAGTAATATACCAAAAGATTTAGCTCATTGCTAGAGCGCTTGCTTAGCATGCATGAGGCCGTTGATGAAAGAAGGGAAAGAGAAAGAGAGAAACAGAAGCAAAGAAAGAGGGAAAGAAAGAAAGAAGAGAGGGAGGGAGATTTTTCTAGATTTTTTACTCTTTATTTTAGTTGAAAACAGTCCTTTAGTCTATTATATTTTTTTCATTTCCTCTTTGTATCTCCTTCAGGTTAATAAGTGACAATTTTTGTTTGTTTATTTTCTTTATTAGGAGCGTAGAGTGGCAGCTCTCCAAGAAATTGTTCGACTCTTGAGACCTGGTGGGAAGGCACTCATTTATGTCTGGGCAATGGAGCAAGAATATAATAATAAGAAGTCGAAGTATCTTAGAGGAAACATTATTAGCCAAAGAGAGAAAGAGGAGATAAAGAATGATAAATCCACACAAGCATTGCTTGAGCAGATGTTTAATACAGGCAGTCAAAACTCAGCATCTTCTGTCACTTCCATTGATGATATTCAGAAGAAAGAATCCAGTTCAAAGAAATTGACTAATTCTGAACTACCTGTTCATACTAGTAGAACTTCTTTTCATTCTCAAGATGTACTGGTTCCCTGGCATCTGAAGACAAAGACTTGTAAGAACAAACCTGTTGAGACCTTTGATTCTGGAGGATCCCATGACCCAAGTCTTGTGTTTCATCGTTACTACCATGTGTTCCGTGATGGAGAATTAGAAGCTACTTGCCAGACTTTGAGTAAAATCAACATTCTGCAAAGCTACTATGATCAGGGGAACTGGTGTGTTATTCTTCAAAAAGTGTAAAAAAAAGTTCTGATTATTTCTGTGGGCACATGTCATTGTAGAAAACAAATATTCAGCTTTTTTAGAAAGGAGACTAAATTAGTTATCCCTTTAATTAAAGAAAAAAATTGGAAAAATACATAAGGAGAACTCCTTAGGACACATTCAGTCCTAAGGGCTATGTGGGACACATTCAATCAGCTACTGTTGACTAACTTCCTAAATGTGGGGTTTCTCCTACATGACAACTAAGAATGGTGTTTAAATATAATTGAAGTTTTGTGAAATCTTTGGGATCCTTGTACAATAGTGTCACATTTTGAAAACAATCTTTTGTTACAAATGGTTATTGAAGGACTGTAGTGAAGTACCATAACATTTTAATAAAGGTAATATTCCTGAAATATTATCTGTGACTATTAGCTTCTTAAAATCATAACCATGATTTTTATCATCACACCTTATTGACACATGGCTTAACGCATAGTGGGTGCTCAGTAAAATTTTAATCAGATAATACTTATAAGTTAGTAAGAGCTTAATTTACCACTTATTAAGTCCCTGTTATATGCTAAATACTGTTGTAAGTACCAGGAATGGAGCAGTGAACAGAAAGAACAGAGGCTGAGAATATAGCTCAGAGTCCCTGAATCTAATCCCTACCACTGTAAGAAACAAAAAGAACAAAGCTCTTGCACTCATGCAGCTTACATTCTAGAAGGAGAGGGTGAAACAATAGGTAGATAAATAAATACTGTTGACAAAATAGTGGTAAATACCATGGAAAAGTTATTTCATAAATGGCTGAAATAATTACTGACTCTGACTGATGTATTACCATGAGTTAAGTCGTATTTCCTAATTCATTGATTAGGTGTTAAAAGACAACCTAAATAAATTGTGGCTGCCTAGACAGTTACATATTTTTCTGTTAATGTCAATTATGTACCATCTCCCATGTTTCAAACTTCCAGAAATGTGTTGTTACTTGTAATAGATCTTAGAGGAGATAATGAACATTTTGTCATGAAATTTCCATGCAAGATCAAGATGCATTGTTCCCTCCAAATGAATGTATAAGATTCATGATACTGGAAGAATGAGTATAGGGTAAAATAGTTTAATTTACGTATTTTTGTTTCAGTACCAGGAATTGAACGCATGACTTTGTGCTTGCCAGGCAAGCACTGTGCCACTGAGCTGTATTACCGGCCCAAAAGTTTTATTTCTGGTATAGATTCTAGGATTTCATATTAAAATTTGAAATTCGATCCATGTTAGTAAATTTTAGAGTATAGAAATAGTTGTCTAGGAAGATGAAAACTATTAAAATCAACTCAAGAAAAAGAAAACTAAGATATTAAAAAATAGCACAGTTCAGAACTTGGCTCTAGAATCAGAGTTCCTGAAAGTTGGATTCTAGATCTGCCATTTATTAACGTGACTTTGGGTGACTGTAACTTTTTATAAAAATGGGAGAGTTGTTAGGAAATGTCACTGAAATAATACTTGTGTAGGAGTTTTATTATGTTAATATAGTATGTGTTGGGTAAATGTTTCTTACTGTACCTTTTAAAAAGGCCTGGAGGAGTTTCAGTCTGATTTGTTAATTATATAATAAAATACACATCTGCTGCTTGTCAATTAAGGCAGATGTGTCAAGATTCCCTGCAATTATTATGCAGTCTTTGAAATTCAGTCATGTGTGTTGTAGTACTATGGCAGTTTTAATGCCTGCTTCGTATTTTAGCATTAATTTCAACACCCTCCAGTAGTGCACTTCTTACCTGAGGTAAGTTGGACTAATGATTTAGAAAGAAGAAAATATTTTCAAATCAGACACAGATTTGAAACTGAACCTCACCACTTAGCAGTTGTAAGACTTCGGAGAATATGCATGTGTAAAGAGAGGATAATAATACCTAGTCAGAAGTTTGTTGGATGGATTATAATTTATTGCATAATAGATAGTTCATAAATGCCAGGTTGCTCCTTCCTTACTTCCTCCCCTAACTGCATAGTTGAGAGTAATCTGATTTTCACTTTTTTTTTATCAGTGTGTGTATAGTCTATTTGACATTGGCACTCATTAATTCAATTCATTTGATATAGGAGGGATTTGATATTGGAGGGAACACTATTTTTAAGAGAGACCATTAAAATGAGACAAAAACATTCAGGAATTTCAGATCATTATAAGCAGTGGAAAGGCAGGTGATTGATGTCACTTTATTTTTGGTAAAGCCCTTAAAAAGGAAGCGATTTCCCAAGAACCAGGCATACATGAGCATAATCTTCAAATACCTTTCACAGAAATAAGGGGGAAATAAACGATGGTGGGAAAGAGAGGTAAGAGCTTTATTGCTGTCTTACCTTCTAATGTGGCGCTTTTTATAGTCCCCTAAAAATTTAAGAAATAAGGGGCTGTGGGGATGTTTTGTCAGACCAGAAAGTTTTACTGTTTTTGCTCTTAGAAAAGCAAATAATGTGTACTTTGGTTTTATAATTTCTATAAAGGAAAAGCAGGCATTTAAGGAAATGAAAGCCCTTAAAATCTGTTTTAAAGGAACAACATGAGAGCTAAGAGATTTCTGTCCAGTTCAGAAGGTGTTTTTAGCCTGTGGCCCACCAATAAACTTCTGAGGGTTTGTGAAATAACCTGAAGTAATATGCAGAACTTTCTGTGCAATTCCATTTGTACATCTTTGCAAGAGGATCCAAGTATTTGTCAACTTTCCACACACATTTAATAATCCCAAAGTATGGATCTAGGAGTAATCTTCACTCACTTGAACTCGTGTGATTTAAAGACAGCTGAGTCTAAGCACAGTACATAAAGTTTCCAAATGTGACCAGCATGTGTATGTGTGAGAGAGTGGTATATCTGAATGATTATTCCCTGGGAGCAGTCTCTAACTTCACCCTTTAGGTCCTACATGGAAAAATGACCGTAAGTACAAACTCACACATTAATGGCATGTTTCTTGAAGTTTTGTTTGTAACTAACCTTGGGCAGGGATGGGAAACGCAAGGTAAGTGTTAACCAGGATACTGTGAATCTTCCTGGTTAACAAACTTTTATTTTTTCTCAATAATAAGCACAAGCCTTAGTTATAAATATCCCTGTTAAATAGAAAGTAATGAAACATCTACATTTTGAGGCAGACCAAAATGTTTTAAAATTTCAGCAGTAAAATTTTCACATTTCTGGAAACTCCAAGTCCCAGATAAATGGGAATTGTTGATAGTCAACCAGTGTGACAGTCTTGGGAATATGATTTTTAGGTTTCCTGTTTATCAGCACAAAGCAGAGCAAAGGAAAGTTGTTTTGGGATGGAGTACCAGTAAAAAGCTGGTTTGCATACTCCTTTGGAAAAAAATGTGAATGACCGAGGAGCAATATTTTACTGCTACTTAAATGTGAGAAGAACTGATAACTCATTATCTTTGTTGCTAAACTATTCTTGGACACTGATAGAAAAGAAGTATTGATTCATACTAAGCTAATATGATTGAACACAGATAATGAGTAGGCAAGACTCTGAACTTAAGATACAAAAGTAAGTCAAATGATTATTACAGTAGCACATTACCTACACAGAATAACTATTCAGGAAAGGAATTATTACTATTACTACTGCTACTAAAAATAGTAGTAGCTGGCTCTGTGCTATTCTGAAGAGCATAAACATCTTATAAAGAATAGTAAAAATAAGGACAAATTTAGTTGTCTAATTTCAAAAAACATAACATATAGTTTGTGGCCATTTCTATTCCTCTTAACATGTAGTCATAAATATCTCTAACTTCTCTCAAAAATGTAAGTAAACATATCCTACTAGTATAAGACCATGAACTTAGTTAATCTGATCACCAAAAATTGTTTCATTCTTATTTCTGTCCAATTTCCCTTGTTATGCTATTAAAGTAAAGCTTATCCTACTATTAAAATTTATAGGCAAAGGGTAAGACTCAAAAACATCAAAAGATTTTATACAAGTCTACAGCACCAGTAAGAACTTGTTGTATGTCCCAGTATAAGCAGATCTCACTTACATGGCTCTTGAAGTCACATAAGTTGCATAAGTTTACATGTTTTCATTTTGCTATCAAGTAGACACAAGAAGTTATACTGATAGTAAATCAGTCTTTGGGTGGATTCTAGAAACGGCTGCTCTGGCACTGGAGAGCAGATAGCAACACAGTACCCTGCTCCTCTACCAAAAGCTTCCAAAGAAAAGTTTTCAAAAACACAAGTTGGACCAGGGCTTATTTGTAACAGTTTGCATAAAGCATTCCTGGTTTACAATCCCATATGCAGACTGCCAGACAGACCACTGACAGCTCTTGAGTCCAAATATATAGAAAATGCATGCATAGTGATCCATTCTGGGACTCTGACATCTAGCACCCTGCTGTGATTATATAAGCAAAAGGCCTAGCTCCAGGAATTGCTCACCAGGAACAAGCCATAAGTAAGGGTAAGGATAAAACATTTACAACCTGTAGGGAAGGCAGCAGAGCACCAAGGGAATTTGGTAGGAAAAATTTTACCTGGGTGAACATACATGACTGAAAGGTTGCATAAAAAACTAAAGTACTGCTAATGGTTCATTCACTTCTCAGACCAGAAAACAATAGTGTTGTATATTTTACTTTTAAAACATGTCACAGCTGTTGTCTCATGCCTCTGTGTGGAATGCATGCCTGCATTTGTGCCTTTGGCTCTTTCATAGCAACATTCTGCTTAGCTCTGCTCATTCTTTTACCCATTCATTCATTAGTTCACCCCTTTGTTGATGTAAAATTGCCAGGACACAGAGTCAAGCACAATGCTGAGGACCAGGAACACAAGGAGAAATAGAAAATGTATATTTATGGTCTCTGGTTTTTTTCATGGGCTGGAACAGAGCAGCAAGCATATTAAAGAATTCATTTGAAAACCCTGGATACAGGCTCAATATGTACCTATAAGGCAAACCTCCAATCTTGACATTTAAACCAAGGGTAAACATATACTGGTCTTAGACTCTCAGAGAGTAAAAGATTTGCATGTACAAATTGTTGGAGTAGATAGGAGGAAAAGGCACAGTCCAATAAAAGAAAACTGCTAAACAATAACAATTACTTCCCATGAGTGAGTTATGCTGCTTCTGTCAATAAAGCTAAGGGTAGTCAGGAGTCACTATCCCAGCCCTCAAAGGGAGAGTCACTATTCCATAAGACTGCCCACTTTCTACATGACTCACTTCCCCATTTGTCCCTGATTTAATCAATTTTACCCAAACAATTAATCTTATTGGTTAACTATAGTTCTGTCCCACCTTTTGCCCACCTGCCTTGCGAGTTCCCAGTTTTCCCTACCTTGAACCCATCTCACTCCATGACTTTACTGTATAAAAGTCCCTA